CAGCCTGTACATCTGGAAAACTTGACTCTTAATATCCAGAGCTGCCTTTGCTGTTCTGACCACAGCTTGCCACTCTGATCCTCTATCTCTTGACAGTGGTTCTGATCCCACTGCCAGCGAGAAACAGTGCCTGCTGCATGTGAGGATGGGGGATAAAGAGACGGCTTGGTAGACTGTCATTGGAAGATCATGAGATGGGATCTCCATATTTTATGGTTATCTAGAGAATGAATCTGATCTCAATTTGTCAGGATTACTTAACCTCAGTGGCATGAGTTTTCTCGTAGGTGAGTTTGGAGCTAAGAAGGATCTCCATTAGCTTGACTAGTAAAAATATGTTGGTTAATGAATTCTACTAGACATTCACATTTAGATTGATTACTCTGTTATACTGTTATGAAGTACAAAAAATTTACCACCCATTCTCCGCCTCAGAAGCACACATCTGTGTTCAATAGCAATCACTATCAAGGAAGTTTCATTTGAGAGTTGCCTGGCATGCTGATTGATTCTTTTTTCTTTTTTCTTTCTTTCTTTCTTTTTTTTTTTTTTTTTTTTTTTTTTTTGAGATGGAGTCTCGCTCTTTCACCCAGGCTGGAGTGCAGTGGCGTGATCTCAACTCACTGCAACCTCCACCTCCAGGGTTCAAGTACTCTCCTGCCTCAGCCTCCCGAGTAGCTGGGATTTCAGGCACTCACCACCACGCCCAGCAAATTTTTGTATTTTCAGTAGAGACGGGTTTCATCATGTTGGCCAAGCTGGTCTCAAACTCCTGGCCTCAGGTGATCTGCCTGCCTCGGCCTCCCAAAGTGTTGGAATTACAGGCGTGAGCCACTGAGCCTGGCCAATGCTGATTGATTCTGCTCTACTTCCACAAAGACATGATGCAGTCAACCAGTATACTAGTTTTTTGTTAGTTTGTTTGTTTGTTTTTTCTTTTTTTGTATCCAGTTTAGGGGGATTATTCATGCTGCATATTTCCCCCATGTCTGGAAAAGTGAGCCAATACCTGCATCTCTATTCATTCTCTTCAGTTTGACCCCTTCTCAGGCACCTTGTCCCCTAAACCCCTTACATTTTCCTGGCCATCCACCTCTTTGACCATCTTCCATTTTTTAAAGTCTTGTTTTTCTGTGATTGGTGCCTCCCTTCTTGGGGCTGATAGTGTTCACTTGTGGAAGCAGAAAGGGCGCTGTGTTTGGAGTTGGGGGAACTGACTTTGAGTTCTAGATTCAGGCATAGTCACTGTGGCTAGAGTGGAAGAGGAAGAAATCTCCCATAGGACATTCTGATTCATTAGACTGCTTTGGGGTCTGAGACTCAGTACTTTTTAAAACTCGCCAGGGCATTCTTATGAGCAGTGAAGGTTAGGAGCCTCTGTTCTATACTGATGCATTGAAGGAGCTCTTGGGGTCAGGGGCAATATGAGGCCAGGACCAGAAGAGTGGGAATGTACACTGGAAAAGGGAAAACATGCATGAGCTCCAGTCCAGGCTCTAATATTCCAGCTTTGTGACTTTGGACCAGTCACATTATTTCTCTTGGGCTGCAGTTTTTTAAAACTTGGCAATGTGGAGATGACAATCTCTCCAGCACATGGGATTGGCATGAGTGTCAAACTAATACTACTACTACTAATAATAACTGCCATTCATTGCATTCTTATTCTGATTCTCAGGCACCCTCCAAGTGCTTTATGTGAATTATCTCATTTAACCCTTGCAAAATTCCATCTAAGGACGATCTTATGAGGAGACACTGTGTTGATAAGTCCTTTGTAATTGGTAAAACCTTGTGAATATATGATATCATGCTCCACATACTTTTGCAAAACTCCCTTACATATATATTGCCCAAGGATATATAAATGAACAGTAGAGACAATAAGATTTATGACTGACTCTTTTAACACCAAGGTCATTGATCTTTCTGCTGTACTCCACTGGTTCCTGGATAATTGCAGATTGTGTAATAGTATGTTTGAACCCCACTGTTCCTTAGTTCCTTGCTAGGAAAAATCTAATCCACCAAATCAGCTTCACCAAGATGCAAAGAAGGTTCAGAGTTTAAAATGTCTGATTTTATTCTATCATGAAGTAGGGTTTCTGTATTCTGGCAGTGGGATGCATCTATTCTAAGGCTAAATGTCATTTCTTGGCATATGAAACAGTCATTTATTTATTTGGATGTGAAGTCCTTTAGATTTACCAAGATATGGACCAGTAGTCCTGAACTTGGGGATGCATTTCTTAACTGAGAAACTCGTAGTTCTGTTATTACAGCTACTGCTGCTTTTGCCATATTTTAGAGGAGGCAGGAATTATAAAATGCCCTTTGATGAACATCTATGTAATTGAAGACTTAATAATCCCTCTGATTGTTACTAGTTCTCTTGCATTTAAATCCTGTGCTGTACAGTGAATTTAGCCTTGGTCCAGTTCACTTCATAGAGTGCCCCCAGGCCCCTCATTTATCTAAGTGGCCCTGAAACTGGATTGTA